CCTTCTCGGCTGCCTCGGGAAGGCTGTCCCTGGCGACGCGGCTGCCACTAACGGATCCCGGTCGGTCAACTCGTCTGCGGCGGTAGCAAGCTCCTCCAGGTTGGTCGCCTTAAAAATTTTCAGTAGCCGTTTCGTCGACGGCGGCAGCAGGTCCAGCCACTTGACGCGCAGGACATCGTCGGATACCCGGTCGCTGGCCAGCGACCGCATCTGCCGCAAGAGCTGCGACGGCTTCTTGTCTCCCAGCTCCAGCCGGGCGAGCAGCGTGTGCAGCTGCTGATCCGCAGAGTCCGTCATGTGGCTAAGGATCGCTACCTTCAGCGCCTCATATTTGTTGGCGGACGGTCCGGCACGCAGCACATCCGCGACCTCGGTGATGGTCTCCGGGTTGAGGCCGACGATAATCATATTGGACCGGACCTCGTCGGACCGAATCCGATGCAGTTGAAAAACGGCCTCCACTTATGGTTCTAGCATAAGTCCGGGCTTCCTTGCCAGAACGGTGGCAAACGGCAGTTGCCCACAGCGTCTACCCCCGCCGACGCCGCGCTCGCGAGAGCCTTCCGGTCGGCCTCGCCCGTTACCGCTGTTTCCGCCTGCTTCCTCCTCTCCGTGGTCTTTTACACACGACCTTCATCGGGGTCACCAATTGTCGGGTCCCTAGACCGCGACTAACAGACAACAAAAGGGTTTATTTTCACAAACACAATAATTGAACGTGTAACAAATAACGAACAGCGAATAATAATAACGATAATTATAACGATAACGATACTGATGCCGACCTTGTATAAGGTGTATGCGGCGGTACTGTTGGGGAGGTTGGAGCGGGAGGTGGAGGTGGGGGGGATGATTCCGGAGAATCAGGCGGGGTTCAGGAAAGGGAGGGGTACGGTGGATCATATCTACGTGTTAAATTTTCTGATTGGAAGGCAGGTCGGGAGGAGGGGGGGGAAGCTGGTGGCGCTGTTCGTGGATCTGAGGGCGGCTTTCGACTCGGTGGACAGGAGGACTCTGTGGGAGGCGATGGAGAGGAGAGGGGTGAGGGAAGGGTTGAGGGAGAGGGTAAGGGAAATTTATAGGGAGACGAAGAGCAGGGTGAAGGTGGGGGGGGGAGGTAGGGGAGGGTTTTTGGACGGCGAAGGGGCTGAGGCAAGGGTGCCCCCTGAGTCCGACGCTCTTCAATTTGTTAATAGCGGATGTGGAAGAGGAGATGAGGAAAGGAAGATGGGGAGGGGTGGAGGTAGGGGGGAGGAGAGTGTGTGCGCTGGCGTATGCGGATGACCTGGTGATGGTGGCGAAGGACGAGGAAGAGATGGGGAGTATGATTAGGCGGCTCGAAGGGTACCTGGATAGAAAGAGGTTGGAGGTTAATGTGGAGAAAACGAAGGTGGTAAGGTTTAGGAAGGGGGGTGGAAGGGAGAGGAAGGTGGAGTGGAGGTGGAAGGGGAAAAGGATAGAGGAGGTGAAGGAGTTTAAGTACCTGGGGTACGTGTTCAGGAGGAACGGGGGTCAGGAGGCGCAGGTTAGGGATAGGGTGAGAAAGGCGGGGGTGGTAATGAGGCAGGCATGGGGAATCGGGAAAAGGAAGTTTGAGAGGGACTGGGGAAGGAGGATGTGGCTGTTCGACACGTTGGTCTGGACGGTGGCGGGATATGGGGCAGAGATTTGGGGGTGGAGGGAGAGGGAGGAGATGGAGAGGATGCAGGAGAGGTATATAAGGTGGTCATTGGGGGTGGACTGGAGGACGCCAGGATATATGGTAAGGGAGGAGACGAAGAGGAAAAAGTTGAGGACGTGGGCGGGGGGAAGGGCAGGGAGATATGAGGAGAAACTGAGTAGGGGAGAGGGAGGGGAGTTGGCTAGGTGGTGCCTGGAAGAGATAAGGGAAAGGGAAAGGGAAGGGGGAGAGGAATTGTCGGCGTGGGAGAGAGACAGGTTGGGGTGTAGAGGGTTGGGAGGATTGAGGGGAGGAGAGGGAGGGGCAAGTGGGCGAGCGGGCTGGGAGGGATGGGAGGAGGAAGATGGGAGGAGGCAGGAAGAGGAGAGATGGGGAAAAGTGGTGCAGTCGAGGTATAATAGGTGGTACAGGGAGTTGGTGGGACGGGAGTTACCGGGGTACCTGAAGGCAGGGTGGGGAGAAGTGAGGTATGGAAGGCTAGCTAGGTATAGGATGGGGAACGAGATGAGGGGGGGGAGATACTGGGGGGATGAGGAAGAGAGGAGATGTAGGGTATGTGGTTGGGAGGAGGAGACATGGGAGCACGTTTTGGAGAGATGTACGGGGGATGAGGCAGAGGGGAAGGGGATCGGGGAAAGGATAAGGGAGATTTTGGACGAGGGAGGGGGAGGGGAGGGGTGGATAAAGAGGCTGGAGGTCAGGAGGAAAGAGAAAGAGGTGGAGAGGGGGGAAGGGGGGGATGAGGGGAGGAGTGAATGAAGGAATGGAATGCAAGGGCGGAAATGGAAGTCGACGGCGGGGAGGGCGAGCGGGGGTGGAGGAGTGGGAGAGAAGGGAGGAGGGAGAGAGGGAGAGAGCGAGTAGCGTAAGGTTAGGCTAAGAGCGTGCGGCGAAGGGAGATGAGAGAGAGAGAGAGGGAGAGCGAGTAGCGTAGGATTAGGATAAGAGCGTGCGGCGAAAGGAAATGAGAGAGAGGGGAAAAGCGGCGGGGGGAGGATGTAAGGGCAGTGAGGAGTAGAGTAAGAGTAGAATAAGTAGGATAAGTAGGATAAGTTAGGTTAAGGGAGAGATGGAAATGTAAGGTGGGGAGGAAGTGTAACCCTAAGGGGAAGCAGGAAATAAATCTATCTATCTATAACGATAACGATAGGCGAATAACAAAAACGGTAATATGCAAAGGCCGAAACCGTGCTGAAGCGAGCAGTGATTTCGTAGTCCGTGGCGAACTCGGAATGTCTCGACCGCGGTTTCCGCGTAACGACCAGGTTCGCTACGAACAAAAACCGAACAATTAACAATTGCAGAAAACTACCAGACACGGCAACCGTTTTTGACCGTTAGTTCCATAGTCAGCGCAAAAAGAGGGCGCGGCCGTAGCTCCTGCTTCCGGTTTCACGGCCGCGACGGTGTCGCCACAGATATATGTTTTGTTTTAAAAAGATTGCTTAAATTTATTATTAACTCTGACATAAAATCAGAACCTTGATTTGACAAGAATGTTTTAGGTATACCGAACTGCATGAACATTTTCGAATGCGAAACAATATTTTGCCAAGTCATTTTGTGCTGTTAAAATAAATCTATTCTCTTCTTCTGCTAAAGGCAACGGGCCCACTATATCAATTGCTATTTTATCAAATGGTCTTTCCGCGGTTATGGTTATTTTTATCGACTGTTTTGTTGGTTTAAAATTAGTTTTATTTCATTGATATGACTTACATGCTTTGATATAATTTTTGTTGAAAAATATCAGGTCCTCTTGCACAGGAACTGATTGGATAAATATATATAGACAATATTAAAATGTTAAACATAACCACTTTAATTATTCTTTACATATTACATAGGTTAATATAAATAAATTGCAGTAATACCAACCATGCAGCTCGAACAAACGACTCGACTCGACTCGACTCGAACAAAAGCCACGGGAATCCTCGCACGATCTTCAACCTTATTATATGTAGGTGTCGCCATTTTGCCGCGTGCTTATTGCCGCGAGATCATCAATAATATGATTCTCTGACTGATTCATCAGACAAATTGAGACTTGTGGTCGTTGGAAAAGTGACATTCCGTACTAAAAAAAATTCTTTTACAATTTTTTGGTTGGTCGATTCAGTTATGAGTTACATGGTGTAAAAGATGGAAGTTAACAAAAAGAAAATTCAGTATATTTTACAATTTTGCTTTGATGAAGGCGAAAATACAAGTCAGAAGGATGAAATTGTGAATGGTGTTTATGGTCCCGATACTGTTACAGCCAATGTCGAAAATGTCGATAAAATCATAGAAATGATCGAAGTAGACCGACTTGTTAGCAGTCGTAGCACCGACCAGGCACTAAAGATCGGCCACAAAACAGTTTTAAACCATTTGCATAAAGCTGGATTCAAAAAGAAGCTCGATCTTTGAGTGCCACACGAATTGAAATGGAACGAAATCGAATGGCAACAAATTATAAAACAAAAAGGTACATATTTCACCCAAGTCGGACAATCCGAACCATGTTAAATGAAGTCTTGAAATAAACGTGAAAATAATGGATTTCTTTTTCCCCAACCTAATATAATTATTACATCCAATTACATCTGCGAAAATATAAATTAACACGCAGTAGTAACGTTCATAGATTGTATCTGATATTAAAGAAGCGTAGAAAAGATGTGTATAGATAATTAATACATATCGCGATAAACTTTGGGATCTTAAAATTACATCAGTAACATATTATGACGATATTCAAAGATTTAACAAAGTTATATCCTTTTAAATTGAATATTATACGCGATGGAGTAAAAATTTTAGGAGAATTATTGTGTACTTATACAGGGTATAATGGTTTAAAATAACATATTTGGAATCAAAATCTGTTACCAAAAATATTTATTTCAAGTTCTAAACTTGTTTTTTACACGAAGAGTTGTCACCTCTTCAAATTGACTGTGAATCACGCAGAGACGGGCAAAATTCAATTCGAAAAACTGACAACCAATAAAATCAATGAAAAGTTAGGTTTTTATGTGCTTGCTGTAAAATATTATATTTTATAATTTAAGTTTTAATTGTTATTTAACGAATAACGGAAAAACAATTGTTCATTTTTGATTCGTTTTTTAAAATTCTTCTCTAGATAAGAATTTTGCCCATCTCTGGTATCGCGTTACATCGTCTGAATACTGTTTTTTTTGTTTTTCAAATACTGTTTTGTTTATTTTTTAAATACTGATTTGTAAATGTACGGAAAAGAGATGTTAAATTATTAAAAAACAATGTTACAAGAAAATAATTTAACAAACATTATATAAATAATCTCTTTTCATAAGTCGAGTTTCCCACATAACGATACTACGTCTTTGGGTATCACCGGATCAACGAAGCTTTTGAAAGTGTCAAGTGGACACAAATTTATACCACAGCCAGGTATTTTAAGGGTCCTCATTTTACCGTTGTTTCTGTAATGTACCTGAGAACAGTGAATACAATGAATTAGAAATATTTAAGGAAAACCAAATATTTATATTATAATTGTTTCGATGTGATGGTAAATGGCATTAATAATCTTATTACCTGTACGTAATATTGACTCTTCATTTCGTGTAATTCAAACATGACAGTGCTGCAATACGTAGGAACTTGGTTGTCGTAATTGTTCAATGCAATAACTATGGGCGCGATGTTTATTTCGTGCGCGGCATACATAAACGCTTTACGCTTATCGCTGTTATTCAGATAATTGTCTACATGATCTAACCATTCACGAATCCATATTCCTATCAAACAAAATAATAAAATATTATATAAAATTATTGGTATTATTAAAGACAGTATTGCACTGCCGTGCCACTGTCAAGAAACGTATCCAAAATATTAACAGTATATTTTCAAAATGATTAAACTTTGAAAATAATTTCAAATAATTTCTTTTGACACCTTTTAAGATTTTAATTTCAAATTATTTTCTAAAGTTAATCATTTTTCCTGAATAACGTGATATTAACACATTGTTGACTGGCAATTTTACCCGAAAATTTAACTAAATTGAAATAGATAATGCAAGTACAATAACGAGTTAACTCGTCATCGGTCAACAATGTGTTAAAAATAACATAATCTGCATTAATAATTATTTTAACAGTTATTTGTATGCATAAAACTGCAGTGGAAATAGTGTTAAAAGAATAATACCTCTCGTGAAAAAGTATCACATTAAAAATAATCGTTCGACGTACAATAAAGATTGTAAACTTACCGCCGAGTAGTTGTTTCAGTTCCTGAGTGCCAGATTGAATCGAAAGAGCGTACCCGGCAATTTCATCCAATTTCCCATGTGGAAAAACTTTCTTCGTCCACGCTGGTAATTTTAAACCAATATCTTTCTGCAATGTTACAAATTTTTTAATAATTATAAAAATTTTGTTCAATTGTGTAGAAAAAAGTTGCATGGTTTGAAGGAGAACACTATGTAGTGCATTTGTCTTTTTTATAGGTGAAGGCGTTTCGGAAATTTGAAGATCAACTTTGTTTTTTTAAACGAAATATTATACTTTTTATACCAAAATATGGAAGAATATCAAATTCTGAGTAAAAAAGTGTTGATCTGTATTAGCTCCAAACCTAATAACTAATGAGTAATTTCAGTTTATTTCTTGACAATTTTATTGTTCTGTAGCTGTGATAATGTTGAGTCTACAATTTGATATTACGCGAAGAAAATTTTAAAAAAATAATGTGATTACTCATTAGTAATTAGGTTTAAGGCTAATACAGATCAAAACTTTTTTACTCAGAAGTTGATATTCTTCCATATTTTGGTATAAAAAGTGCAGTATTCTATTTAAAAAAACAAAGTTCACCTATAAAAAAGGCAAATGCACTACATAGTGTGCCCTTTGAAACCATGCAACTTTTTTATATAAAATATCTTTGAGCAACACATATTTTAGAATTTATAGAGGTGCACAAGTTGCATAGACCACTTTGTATAATAAAAAAAAGTGCAAAGCTCGAGCAGAGACGGGAAAAATTTTATCTACACAATAAATGAATCAACGTATAACGATTTTAACATTACTAACAATAAATATTCTTTACCTGTGCGTATAATATCTGACGTAAAGCGAATCCAGCTATTGGTTCTTGGATCAGAGCACCTGCATTTTCCGTTAAGTAATCGAAAGTTTCTTTGTTGTCCAGATTAAACTTCACCACGGAACTGTTTGTTGTATCAACTTCAGCCGTCCATTTTTTTGCATTTGAACAATCCATGCCATTATAAAGATAATCATCGTCCATATGTGGGAGTGCCCATATTGGTATAGGTTGCCATCTTAATGCAGGATTCCATCTGTAACATTTAATAGTTTTGTTTTTAAACGTCAAAGTTTCTTTTTGGTGTCAGGACATCATCAACAATTAAAAATTAGCTTTACCTTTGCCTTTTTACCGGCGGAAACAATCCAGCTGCCACGAGTTCTCCTGTCATTACAACTCTTTCTACTTCGTCAGCACGAAACCAGATAATTTCCTTCGAGTAAATTGGTCCTAAGAGTTTCTCGTACCTTAGTCGTAAGAACTGGCCAAGTTTGTATGCTGTCATTTTACCAGTCTGTGTAAATAAAAAATATTGTACAACTTGTCCGTATTATTACATTCTGATATTCCGAATTATTAAATCAATGCAATGAATGATAAATTAATTATGTTAGAAAATAAGAATCAGGAAACTACTCTGTTTAAAATTGTATTTAACTATTTGTCAGGTGTTGTATATCTTTTGCAAGTACATTTGACCCTCTTTTTACACGATTTTAAAGTTATACGGAATTATATTACTTTTTGTACAGTCTGCATCCTTTAAAACAAGTTTTATATATTTCTGTTAATCAGTGTTTGTATGATTTTTTTCATAAGATTTACGAGAATCATCAGCTGTACCAAAATAGATAATATAATTATATGAAAAGTGATGTACGTTTGTCAGGCCACCGTGTCCTTCTGGTTCATACGTCATATTGCCATAAGGATCGTTAGGGTAGAATGTCTGATCCATCGTAGGCGTCCTGTTTCCATGTCTAAATACTGCTTGTAGAAGTTTGAGCTCAGCAATGCTCGGTTCGAAATATAAGAAACAAGCAACAATCGTCAGAATCCACGTAGCCTTCATATTTCTGAAAATAATTAAAATACAACGGTGAATAGGATAAAGAAAAATTTAAAAATTTTACCACGAGACAAGAATAATTTTCGTGGCTATTACTTTAATGTCTGATATTACTAAAAACTTTTTCTTAAAATTTGTCAAGATTACGAAAAAAAAAATCAAATTTAATAAAGTCGTATATAGTTACCTTCGGTTTATTCGAAATAGCAGGAGAGATAAAATTTTGAAAAAAAAAATGACAGGATCCAGGTGTTGGAACTGCTTACTTTATGCCGTAAGAACTGTTCGAAAATTCTTTCATTCGTCGCTTTAAATAAGTTCTACTCTTCTGCTATCTTGGATTAGTTGAAGGTCACGGTATATGAGCTCAACGATTCGTGTCTTTTACCATACACAACCATATCACTTCATACAATAACAGACAGACCAATACACAAAATAATTTTGAAAAAGCAATAACGGGGAAGATAAAAGAAAGAAGAACAAAAAATAATTGTACTTTGCATGTCACTATTTTTGCGAGAACTATTTATAATAAAATAAACAATATGTTGAAACTTGACAACTCCATTCAAGCTAAACGATAGTTATTTCATATCTAGAATAATTATTTTAAAACTTAACAAATTTTTGTTGAAATAAAGATTCATTTATGCAATTTAAGCTATAGAAAAATGAAAAACAAAATAACAAGCTTTATCTTTTATCTTAAATATATTTTCATTTTTTAATTTTATAATATCAATACATATATTCGTTGAAAAACAATCTCAACGAATGGGAAGTCATTTGTTTCATAATTGTAGATCTAATTGCTTTGTATAAATTTGCACGTTGCAACAAAATAATTGTAAAGCGAACGGTAGTAGATTAAAGAGTAAAATATATACCGATTAAGGAAAATGAGACAGAAAGATTTATAAAAGAACATAGATTGAAAAGATTGATTAATAAACATATTACGTTCTTATTGATATGAGCAAGTTTGTAACAGAGAAAAAATCTATGGTTTTTAATATCATGTTAGGATCAATATTTGGAACAATTTTTAGAACGGTTACTGAAATGTAATTTAAGTCTGTTCTTTATAACAGTTCTTCGTTATTGTTTTAGGAACCTAAACTTATGTTATAACAGTTGTCAATCTCTGATATGGAATGCCAGACACACCATGAGACGCAAAATATTACCCATTTTGCTAAGTTTAGCGGTATGGCGAGCAGTGTCATTTTTGTGTAACATGTTGCGAAATTCTTTTGAGGTAAAGCTTTCAAAGCACGTGGATTTGATAAAGTACACAGATTCTGCGAAACGAGATAACCGACTCGCACGTGATAGCATGTGCGTGGGTGTGAACTGCGACAGCTTCTTTCATCGGTTGATCGAGGAGGGCACAACCCGACATCATGCAAACTGTTCAAGAGAATCGTGTAGCGATTTACGTCGCTGATTGAAAAGAAACTCGTGATCCAAGATAAGCTTTGCAAGTTGCATGTTTTCAGCCCTTATCCGACATTGGTTTGGATATTTTGAAAGATATTTGTTACATGATTTGGAAAAGGAGTAGTCGACAATGAGTGATCGCGTCTTAATTTTCCAATCGAGGATGAACGCTTGTTAAAATTAATTTGTATCGTTTCTGGAAAACGATTTTACCGACGCAAAATAACCAAAGATAGATTAAGCATCCGTATATGATGAATTCGAATGATAATCCTAGGGGATCGTTTTCCATGTTGCCTGACGTAAAGACAAAGAAACGTGATAAGCTTCCATCGACCAACTTTAATGCTGTTTGCGTAGTGAAGACAACGTGAAAGGTGTATGATGAAAATCTCAGACCGTGTACAGTGAATCACAGAAGTATTCATACTCTCTCAACTGTAGATTTCGAACTGTTGATATTTTTAGAACAAATGTTGTCGGATCCTTATCGATTAACATTTTAATATTACACATATTATTTTTAAAAATATTAGTTTAATACAAATACGAATTTAACTATTGAAAACTAACAGTATAAAACTATTCGTATTTATATAGTAAATATTTATTCTTTATATAAATTAAATTGTAGTCTCCATTACGATCCTATTTATGAAAATGAAAGTTAAATTAAAATATTAATTCTAATTTTTTTGATACATTTTTCTTGACTTTTAGATTTTGTATCCGACATTCCTTTACCTGATTTACAATTTTAGCAGATCATTGCTAGAACATTGTAAGGGGTCAGTGTTGACGTTATTCAAATATACGAATAACGGATGAAATTTTTAAATCAAGCTCCTCATTTGATTTTCTTCGCGTCATTGCTTATCCAAGTTAAGCATAATAATCTTATTCACGTCCGAAAATATCACACATTCTCAAAAATCAGACTTTTTATCAGTGTGGGTTTTTACGAAATATAAACGTTTAATGCGATTTGTTTTAACAATAAAAAGATTTCTCCGAGTTATTCGGTCATTAAAATCTCATCTTCTTAAAACTCTTCAACAGATTTCTGACATGCTTCTTTATCAAAGTTGTTTGCAAAAACAGTTGGTACCTTTGAACCTGTTGTTCGGTTCTCTAACATTTTTCCAACAGTTTATTCGATTATATGCTTTCATTACTATCTTACTTATTGAAATTTCAAACTATTCTTCTTCTTTTTCTTCTTTTTACTTTTCACTCCATCGTCGACTTTACTCGAAATATTTCAGAATATTAGTTTAAATATTTTCTTTCTGATAGAAGACTATCACCGCCTTTTCGTGGGTTTCGTTGAGTGGGGGTGTGCACGTTATTCATTTTTAAGAACTACAAATATTTTTTTATATTTAATTTTTCGTCATAAATTGGTAGAGTTATCGAATAATTTATCGAGAAGCAATATTATTAGTTTACTTCAACAATAATTAGTTCCTCCGATTGGATCATATTTCGAAAAAATGTTTGATATTGAAGGCTCATTTTTACCTTTGACTAATTTTCAATTCTAAAATATTATTTTTTAATTAATCTCATTAGCGACATCTTGAAGGGGAAGTTTTGTGAGCATACAAATTATTAAAAAAATTATTAAAATTTACAAATTTTATGTTATATGAAAAACTAATTTTCTTAGAAGAGATAACCATCATTATCCATGGATTTTACGCAGGGTATTTATTCTTGAATTAACCATTTATGTGATTGTTTGGCACGTGAGCGTCAGCTTGGACGAGACTTATTGGAAGCATGAGACCGAGAACTAACACGTGCTTAGACATTTGCTCTGGAATAACGTGCTTCATACGTGATACTCTATATGTGCCAAATCTTGAAAGAACGTGCCACGCACGTTGCCTATGACTTGTCTTTTTTCCAATTCGCAATAAATGTTTTCATCCACCACGGTACTATCGTATCAGATTTTTCAACACATTTGTGCAACGAACTACTTCGGGATCTTTTTGGTGCCATTATATGTATAAATCTTAAAAAAGATACTTGTTTTGGAATGGTCTGTTCAATTATGGGATTTGATTATTATTGTTAACGTTTTGAGAGAAGGGAATCATCGTAATAAATGTGTATACAGCTGGATGACTGTTTAACTAGACTGTCGAATTATTGAAGGGTGAATTTAACCGGAAAGAAATTGAAAAATTGTATTGTATAATCGGTGTTCGAAGACAGAAACGGGGTTTTGCCAAATATCAATATAAGATTTTTGTATTATATCATGAATTTTTATATACTATGTGTTATCTTGTCCCTTACGTTTCATAGGATTTTTCATGGTTTGTACAATGAACTGTCTAGATTTTAAAACGAACGTATAAATTATAAATACGTTATAAATATGTGATAGAACCACAGACGAGGTATACGAGTAGACCTTACATCCAATGTGTTTTTTCGGCTCATTTTTCTGGGGTCTCGAGACCCATTACCATTTTCGTGTTACTCGCAATATTACCAACGGATTTAGAAATGAACACGAGAGGAAGCGAGACAGAAAATGAAATTACAGAAATTTTATTATTTTTTAACGGAGTGAAAGCTGTATGATCCAGAATTGGGCATTAATTGAGTAATTTCATTGGAAATATAAAATCATTAAATATGGCCTTTAGACTGCATCACAGTTTTTGGCAACTATCATTCTTGGTGTACTGCTTCGATGAATTTCTTGGTGCTCTTTATGATTATAAAAAGATAATAGTATTAGAATAAGCATGGATTCTGTATCCAGTGGTAAATATAATCCTAAATTATGTGTATGTATGTCTTATTATGCCGATTATCTGGAATGTCCGATTAACATTTATTCTTTTAATTCCTAGTCTTGAGATAAACTCCTTTAAAATGGAACAAAATATTAAGAAGATTGTGCATCAAATTGTAAGGGGATTCTTGTAAGAAGATTTTAATTTTCGACTTCATGATGGTTTTGATGAGTCATTGGTTATTCGATGGTCAATAATGGTTGGATAATGGTCATAGATAGTCAATTATGAGGTTGACATTAAGGTCATAGATTCAGTAAAGATCAAGGAAATGCCAAGAGGTAGGACCAGTGATACATTCACTATTGTAGGAGTTGTGGTCATTTGAAAACTGGACCATTTTTATGGAGTTTTTTTCACTGTATGAGGTTTAGGAACAACTTTTCGAACTTTCTTAGAATTTTTAAATATTCTTCACTAAAATAGGCGTTGTTTGCATTTTGAAACATTAAAATCCTCCAATCCGTTCAGGAGTTATGATTTTTTATATACAGGGTGTCTCACCCGATTTTGACATCTCGATTTTCTCGCTATTGTTACTCGTAACAAAAAATGTTTCAGCGGAGGCTTGAATGGTATCGAGTGGAGCATATTCTGATGTTATTAGTTTTTTCGTGAGTGGACCCGTAAAGGTTATATAAAGGTCAACTTTGTTTTTTTAAATGGAATGAGGTATTTTTTAATACATCAATCGATTCAGCTGGACAATCGTTATAAAAAAGTACTAACTATGTAACGTCGAAAAATTAGTAGTTCAGTAGATATTTCAATTTAAATAATTCTAAAACACCATTACTGTTGTACTAAGACGTTAACCTTTATTTACAGGAATGGTTCAACGTAATGACCATTTATATCACGGCATTTTTTAAATCGATCAAGTAATGACTGGTTTACGTAAATAAACGCTAACGTCTTAGTACAACAGTAATGGTGTTTTAGAATTATTTAAATTGAAATATCTCCTGAACTACTAATTTTTCGACGTTACACCCCGGGTGAGACAC